ATCCTGCACTAGAGGGAATTAATCTCATAGTCACAGTAATCTCATATCCTGCAACACCATATTATATTCTCTCTTTAAACACAGCGTTACATACATAACACACGCACATCTTCCCTAAAGGGACAGTATGTTTAAATTAATATTACTTCTTTATCTAGCTATTATTTCTGTCCCTTCAGACACAAGGTCAACATGTAAATCATATTTGACCCAGATGTTAACATGTTACGTTCTGTCGCGGGTTCTGCAACAAGAACCTTTTGGAGTTTACACAGAAACATGTCAGGTAGTTGCTTATTTGAACTCCTATAAGAGGAACACTTTGATCTTTAAGCCATTTCTCATTTCGGTTCCAGTTTTGTTAGTGAAATCCAGTGTATCCTTGGTCTTCAGGTAAATACACTGGCAACCTATTGTTTAGTAGTAATAAAAGCCTTATTGAGAAACTAATCCCAGGGTCAAGCAAGCCTAATGGAGTTTTCATGTTCTCCTGGTGTCTGCATAGCTGTCCTCCAGGTGCTTCGACTTCCCTTCCCATAAAACATGTACATTAGTTCAGGGTGAATGAGTGACTGTGCAACAAGGAATGGAACATAGCCCAAGGCTACAATCCAGGGAGGTGTGTTCATCAACATGCACTGTCCCAGCCAAATGAACAACAAATACAATGGAAATTAATAAATTTAAATCAAAGACAACATCAGCAAGTATACAAGTTAAATATAAAACTGATTTAACCAATAATTAATCACAGAAACAGAGTTTACTCCCTTGTATTGTTGTTCAACAACTTCCTGCTACAGCGATGACTAACAGGGTCCAGGGAAAATAAATAAAGATGCAAATTGAGACAGTTCTGTGTTCTGCCTTCTTCTGTCACAGCATGTTTGCATTGAAGTCACTATAACTGCAGCACTGAGGGCTGTTGTTGCCTCATGACGTCTCCCCATGACTGTCACACTGCTTTATACGTGCTGGATCTGTTTACCCCGGGCAAAGAGGCCACACAAAGCTACGGCAAAGTTTAACAGATGGCAGTCGACATAATTCATATTATTCCATTTCAGCTTCAGTACAACACACATTTATTTAGGAGACAATAAACTAGTCAAAGAAGCCAAACATTTCTTAAAATGCTGCTCCATTTTCAGAGCAATATCTGACCAAAAGTAAGAGCTATTAGTATATGCCCCTACAACAAAACCAAAGAATAGAGAAAAAAGAATACAGAAATACCTAGGGAGGAAGTAGCAAATACAGCGATTGCCTAAAGGACAGAGAGACCTTTCTCCTCATACAAAAGGAGACAAAATGGAGTTTCTCAAGACCAACACCAAAACCATCCATCAGACATGAGAGCTGAGTCACCGCTGAACACATAGAGTTCTAATCCTTCTGGACGAAAGGGGACGACACAGCATACAACATTTTTTTATAGACGGGACAAAATGTGAGCGTTTTTTTAATCATTGTGGTCTCGGAACTTGTAACAGTTTCTTGTAATGTAATGGTTTGTACAGTTAAAAAGAACAATAATGATGTATAGTAATTTATTGTTAAAAGGTCATCCAAAAGGTGCCATCTCTCTCCATAGGACTACAGGTGGAGAGTAGCAGTGCAGCCATCTTTTTTTATGTAACTGCACATTGTTATTAATAAATCAAACTTCAACTTCAACTTTCTTTATTTTGATTCAGAATCAAGGTTGTAATTTTAGTATTGCAGCAACACTGCGAGGAAGTACTATGACGTAAGCCATAGATAGTCATTGGTAATTGTTTAGCGTCTTTAAGTCTTCAGAAGCCAAAGGGAAACGTTAGCTGTCTGAGATGTAGAGCAGGAACTATCACAATATTAGCAATGGATAGTCATTAGTAATTATTTGCTCACATTAAATGGTGAAGTCTTTAGTAGCAGAAGTAAAAAGAGTGTTTCTGTCTCTTTCAGGAGAATCCTCTGGTTTGTTGATGCACTCTTAGCTGCACATGTGGCATTTATGGAACACGTATTCTGATGCGTCATGTCAGAGCGGCTCTGTGCAGACATTTCCGTCCTCCCTGCTGCATGTGCTTGACCTCCTGCTGCAGAAGAGGGTGTGTCGCCATATGGCCCAGGGGCCACTCTCAGCGGGAGCCAGTTGGGTTGATGGCCCCATGGGACCCTCCGAGCCAATCACACACGTCAACACCGTGTTTTGTTCACAGGCACGTGGGGGCGATGACAAATGGCCCCGCAAGCTGTGAATATCGCCTGGTAAAGAGACTGCTCAGCTTCTACCCATAAAACTGTGTCTGCTGTTCAATAATTATAGTAACAAGGGTTAGCACTGAGATTAACTAAAGATTATCCATGGGTTGGGCAATAAATCGAATTGAGGCAATTAATTGTGAAATTGAATGAAGGATATTGTGAGAGTTCCAACAGCACATGAATTATACTTATATGCAAAATCAGCACAGTCTGTACAAGACTTTTATAAAATGTATTAGGGGAAACAAAGTTAAAAAAATAATTTTGAAACTTGAATATTGAGCGGAAATATAGATAAAAAATATCTTTAAAGGCAAAGTTTAATGAAAATCGATTTAAAATTGAAATCGTCCAAGGCAGAAAATAAAATCGAGATTAGACTTTTTTGCCATATCGCCCAGCCCTAGATAATCCACAGAATACTCCACCATCCTACACGTACTAACTGTAATAACTGCATGGTATGAATGGGGTGTATATGTATTTGAGCTGGTGTGTGCAGAGCTTTCTCTACTTATGAAACATATTTTAAGCAGTGTTTGCCACCCCCAACACAGGACAAGGTATTCCTGATCAAGTACCACTAGTAGTAGTAGTAGAAGTAGTACTAGTAGTTGTATTAGTAGTAGTAGTTAACAACAGTGTTGCCAAATATCTTTGCCCGGAGCCGAACACTTCTGATAATCTTTTGTTTTTGTTTGAAGATATTTAATATTTAACAAATACACCATCATTATTTTCTATTCACTGCATGCCATCACAACATGAGAGTTTTTTTGTTTTTATTATAATGACAGTCCATATCAATCAGTACTTGGGTGCTATAGTCATACTAGGGAGGGGCATTGCATCTTATCAATAAAAATATGATTTATTTGGGCAGGGAAATCGGGGGGAAAGATATTTATTTATCCACGTTTTGATCAAGCTAAATGTTAGATATTGAAATTGTAAAGAAAACCCTGAAACAAGGTATTGTGCAAATCTAAGGCAAACATTGTGAAAGTCCAATGAAGACAGATAAAGACCATTTCTCCAAAACAGTGAATTTACAAAAAAGAACAAGTCTTCCTCTTCAGCCCCATGATCCTCGTGTCCCCCTTTTTATGCCAAAAATCCAGATTGTGAACAAATTTAGATATTTTTGCTTTTTGATCCATAAAAAATGAAAGATTTTTTTCCTGAGCGAGTGCCATTTCACTTGAGTCACTGTGATTAATTCTCCAGAAGCTGCTGTCATACATCAGAGCTCACCTCATCACTACAGTAATCCCATGATCCTCTGCTTCCTCACTGCTACGTCCCGAAGTTGATCTTTTTACAGTATTTACTTTTGATGCTCCAGAAGGGAAAAGCAAGGAATGAGGTCACACTCCACTCAGCTGCTCCTCTCGGTTTAGTTCACTCCAATGCACCGGCAAAGATGGAGAAACAACTGGGGGTGGGGCCCTCGTACATTAATAAATACTTATTTTATTGCATCCTATGATATTGAAGAATACATCCGACACAGCTGCCTTCATATAACATCATTTAAATGGAGTGGAGTAGCCATGAGGAAGAGAGACGACCATAAAAACAGCGCTGCAGGGACGTGCTGAGGCTAAAGGCTGCTTTTATGGGACATATGTTTAGAGGAGACACCTTGACAAGAAATAGGGCAGGTTGTTATTGCAGAGTTAACGTACCATTAGGTCAGCCGACTATCTAGCTAAGTCCGCCAGGTGATGGATGACAATACAACAAATGTCCAGTATATATTTTACACCATATGTCTATTCAGTGGCTATGACTGAGACTGGAGGAAGTGTCTGGGACTTGATAATTATGATGACATTTTTTCTTGAAATGTGCTCTTAAAGGTATATAGGAGGAGTATCCCAAATTTTAGGAACGAACCGCCCTCCTCAAAGGGAACGCCTATGAAAACGTGTCTTGCATATCCCAGAATGATTGACAATTAGGAAGACCAATAGCCTAGATGATCCACCCGGAAGTAGAACATCCTCCTATACACATTTAAGATTAGAAAGGATTTTGCAGGTATTTGTGAGTATTTGAATAGAGTTAAAAGCTTTCACATATTTTATTCACACAGACCGATTATTTACACTCTCTTTCACTCTCTAATTTGCAGGTCCCTATTTTTTCATCAGAATAACCGGCACTATTTGTGTAAGGCTAAAGCATTTCAATCAAAACACAGAATACACCTGGGGTTAAAAGAGGAACCATTCTTGTGGTTTGCTGAGGGGGGTTTGGAAATAAACAGAGGCTTCCTACGTGATTTATTTGTTAATTCTAAAGTGGTTGGAATGTCACCTTTCGATGGGCAAGAAGTTCAGGACATTCATTCAATGACATTCTTGGTTTCTTGCTGTGAGGCCTTTTACAGCTATATAAACAAAAAGGTTATCTAAGATGTGATTTCATTATAAATCCCAAATCCTCTACAAACACCTACATGATACAATGATAGATGTGTGTGTGTTGCAATACCTTTTTTCATGTCACTCTAACCATTACTCACGGGATGATCATTGCTTCATCATGTGATTGTAATTGGCTGAACCGATTACCCACATGCATATGATTAAGAATACAGTAACAACAGTGGTACTTACACACAGCGTCAAAACAAAGTGCATAACAAAGGTATAGCACAGCGCCAGGCAGATCAGATTACACGGAGCGGTTTCTAAAGGCGCTGCTACAAAACAATATGAAAAAGGTCTTTAAGAGTCGCTCACCTGCAGCCTACGTCGCCGTATTATCCCCGAGTCATCCATGGCTTCTCGGTATCACTTCTCCACTAACTGTCTTTATTGTTCATAGGATCATTCGGAAGCAGATCGTCCCGTGGAGATGTGCGCTTCCATAGTCCGCGGGTGAAACGCACAGATGTCGCTGATCAAAAGTCCAGTCTTGCGCAGGATGCCTTCATAGTGAAATCTGTTTCCGTGCGTGGCTACAAAGAACGGCGCGTCCAGGGCTGTGGTTCGGGGTCGCCTTTAACCAGAGCGTCTCGCAGTTCACCCGGCGTTTCTCTCAGCCCGATACGAACAACATAACTTTAACTAAAAGGCGTCGGTCACGTCTTGTTTTGTTCATTCATCCTCCTCTGTTGTCTGCGTTCTGCCTTCACTTCCCCCCAAACTGCACTGCCTGACGGACTGGGACGGGGCTCTCTACGGCAGCAACGCGATATTTGTAACCCTTTCGTGGGAATCCCAGGCGCCCCTCCCCCCTGCACGAATGAAAGACGTGAGGGAAACCATCCAGCCACGCAGCCCCAGAGAGAGGAGCCCCAAAGCCCCACGACTCCACACGGTGAGGCGCGGCGCGGCGTCGTGTCCTGGGACCACGTGACCTGTGCCAGTCCAGCACCAGAGACAGCGACACAAGTGAGCAAACATTGACAAACACACAATCAAATGATCTAGTTCCTGAACCTGTTTCTGTTTTTCATTTCACCTTTTTAACACTAGAACTCCCAGAGCAGTCAATTTGACGGCTTTTGGTTTTGGAAGTGTATTTATTCAGCATGTTTGGTCTTCATAACTTTGACTTTTTCTGTTTCTGTATGTAGTTTGTTTTATATGCGTAATCATTATCGTTGTGAAAAAATAATTTGATTTTTTTATGTATCTTGTTTTTTTTTAATTGAATCTAGTGATAAACTAAACATTTTTCAGGGGGAGTATCTCAAAAGTCCTTTGGTTTGAATGAGAGCAGTCAAATGGACGGCTCTGTGAGTTCTAGTAAAGTTTCATATTACTGACTTTAACACCTGAATAATTTTTATTAATTTATTTCAAGCTTATAAACAGGAATCAATGAATGTAATTAACAGTATTTACATGATACACACACATACATGAACATTCAAACATACATTTGGATGCCTCAACATATGTACATTTCTTTTCTGCATACGTGTGGTGTGTAATGTTAATTTTATTTCAATCAAAAACAAAATAAAAAAAATAAAGTGAGGAATGTGATCTTGCGATGAAAGGAGAAAACAATGTGAAAATGTTTTGTGAAGGATCAAAATCAATAATCAAATCATGTCTAGTCACCAGAATTTTCTGCATGTTTTGTCCGACAGAGTTCAGCTGTGTTTACTGTTGTTCAAATTGTCCCTTTTTGTAACTTCTCATTTTTCTCTTTCACTTCCTCATTTCCACTAGATCAGTATCGCCCGAGCTTTAAGGCCTGTTTATGTTTCTGCATGAGACTTCTTTTTTTGGTACACATTACATATAGGTTTTTGATTCAATAAGCTCCACTGACTGAGCCCAGATGTCACCAGTGGTTTGTGAATAATAGAGTCAAAGGTTCAACACTCGGTAAAAGCTTGAATATTGTGATTTAATATTATACTTAAGTTTAAAATGTCTGTAAAATATGCTGCTATTAATGCTTGCTTGTTGTGATTATCAAAAAAGGTTTTAAACTTACTGACATGATGCAGTGCAGTCTACAGCATCTGACCTTCTTTGAAAAGTTGGAACATAGTGTCATGTTTAAAACCCAGATTTCATCAGCATTTGGGCTAAAATCCTTGCATAACTCCAGTTGTGGATTAGGACATTCACATTTTTATATAACATATGGTGCGCACTGCCCACACAAGCTGGATCCCATCAGTGCCAATAACAGCGAGAGGTCAGCCATTCTTCAAACTAGACCAGAAGGACGCAGCTGGTGGCTCAAAAACAAAAACACCAACATTATTTTTACTGGTGAGCTAAAAGAGCAGCGTTTGGGTGAACACAGTGAAGGGGATAAAGAGCAGAATGTCAAATGACTTTTTCTGCTGTGCTGGTCAAATGCACAAATGAGAGGGTAAGCAGCGTCTGAGATTAGATGGACCAGACCTGGCAGACAGAGGCAGACTGGGCCAGTGCTGATGGCGGCTGTTTCTGTGGAGGAAAAACTACTGCAAGACAAAGTAAAGAGCCAGCACATAACGTCACACTATAAAATTGTGTTGAATCGTATGAAATAATAACAGGAACATGCTATAAATGTGTAGACCCAGGTGGATGTGTGATGTCGTCATTACTTCAGCGGGTGCTTATGTAATGAACCGGTAATTCCAGTTTAGTGAGGGGCAGCTGTTCATGAGGTTTTTGGAGCAGGGGTCAGAGAGGACCTTTTTACTGATGAGTTCAACACGGAAGGAAAACTCATCCAGATTACACAGGACATCAGAGAGAAACTGGCTTAAATTATGTCAGATTTAGCTTTGATCACAAGATTATGGTTACTTTGCAAAACTATGAATTCCAACAAACTCAAACAAATTGTATTTTAATTTTTTCTCCTTCAGACATTCTCAACTAATACAGTCTGAATGCTTTAAAGTGTGACTGCAGGTTTATCTTTGAGGGTCATCTTCACAATCAATTTGAAAACATTTCTTTTTAGATTTTTCTCTTCAGTAAAAGTCATGTATCAATACAATTACTTAGTGTCCTTCTTCCCACTTCTTTCCAGACTAGTGAACTTGTATCTTTGTACTTTTAGAGTATGTATTATCTGACTTTTCTCTTCTAATGATATTGTTGCTTTTAGTAACACACTTGTGCTACCAGTTGACAGCTTGAAATAAATGTAAAATGTGTTTAAGAGGTCATATAGTAACTGTGTTCGCATCCTGAACTAATTTGTCCCAGTGGAAAAAAAAAAAAAAAAAGATAAACAGACAATGCATAACGTCCAATGAGGTCAGAGAGAATCATTATTACACGTCAGAAGTTCACTACGTGTCATGTTTTGAGTATCATTTACTGTTTCGCTCAAAAGAAATGCCACAATGACCTCTTGTGGTTAGTGACGGTACTTCACACAAACAGCACGCTTTGTCATGAATTTTCATTTCCTAACTATAACCACTTGATTTTATTTAGATAATAAAAACAATAATTCTATAATCCAATCATAAGTTTAAAGTATTTTTAGATGTATATCACAAATATTAAAAACCATATCCCACATAAGAAGGTTTCTGTTATAAATCTTTTTTCTCCGTTAATAAATCAATGGGTTTGATCTGCTCTGACTCTTGGCTGTATTGTGGTAAAAGAAGAGTCATGTCTTTCCACTTTTCAGACAGCCTCTCTTCCAGTTTCCCCAGGACATTACTGAGCTGAACCACACCTCGTAAAGTGTGATGTCATGATGTCACAGTCGGAGATGGTGGACAGTGTGTGTAATCCTGTCTTTATTGTGAATGAGGCTCCTGCTGGCCGCTGACAGGAGCCGGGTGGGACGTGGATAAGCCCTCGTCCACTCTGCATATGGGCCACTGTAAGAGGATTGGAAGAAAGAGGTGAGCCAAGGCACACTGAGAAGAAAAACAGAGCGATAGGAAAATGTAAGGCTTGCGTGTGTTCTATATCTGAACAATCTGTGTGGATTGGAACATTGCAATGATCCATAAAATGGTCTTCTCCAAAGCTTTTCTGAAGACGTGCTATCAGTCTTACACTCTCCACTGGCCCACATGCACAGACACAATGCACCCAGCCGTCCTCATTCCAATAGAGAGGACATGTGACGTACAGTAATGATTCTCTACAAAGTTCACTAAATGATTGTTGGACAAAGTTGTTTATTTTCAATGCATAGAGTAAAAACTGTTACCCAGGCAAGTTATACAAAACCAAAGTACAGCATCATCAACCAAGAACAAAGGGCAAACTTCTGTGATTTAGAATACTAATTCAAACTAAGTCAAAGCACTATAGTGTTTTCATGTTTAACAGAGATGCAGCACAATTAGTCTTCAAATGAGCTTTGGCAAGAATTGGTGTTTTAAGTCCCCCAGACAGGCCTAAACACACTCTAATCCTATTGACGCAAAGAGTAAGCAACATTTAGAAAGTAGCACACAGCTGGGGATTTGTGATACAACTCAGAGCAGACTTTATTTTTTCAAAATAAAAACACATGTACACTTTATTGTGTATTACACATTTAGGTGGGATAAACAACACAAGTGTGTTGTTATGTATGTGTGTATGTTTTTTATACTTGTATTGTCTTTGGCATTGCCGTGCTTTTAGGGAGACAGGCCCAACATGTCCGGGAACAACAGATGGAAAAAGCCTTTTGGCCAATATCTTTATAGAAATTTGAATCATTGCACACTGTCTCTCCTCCCTCCTCTGGCGGCAGGACTCCCAAGAAACAGAGATTTGATTTGATTTTTCAATAAAAAAAAAAAGAATATTTCAAAAAAATAACACTTGAAATGTATGTTTGCTGTGTAGTTGTAATTAATTATAATTCAGACCGTGTGGAAAGTAATCAAGATTCAGACAAACTAAGAATATTGCCATTGAGTCGAAATATATAGTAAATGTATAAATGGTTAAAAAAACTGACCTAAAACAGGTGAGAAAAAATGCACATATTAGACATAAAAAGCCAAGCGCAGTCATGTCCAACATAGAACTGTTTGGCCTTAATGCAAAACAGAATCTGTGGCTGACACTGCTCATCACCATCTCCAATGTCACACCTGGTGGTGGCAGCATCATGCTGTGGGCAGCTTTTCTTCAGCAGGAACAGGGAGTGTCAGTTCAAGTTGGATGGAGCAAAATACATAAGACTAATATAGGGGTTTCCTCTCCAGATCCCCACCCGTTTTCACATTTTGCCTTCAGTCCACATTAGTCTCCACTGCGTGTTGTGTTTGTGGTCTTGATGTGACAAAAAAGTACATGGGGCATCAATATTCATGAAGCCCATGATCAATAATGAATTGATTTAATTCAGAAATATTAGTTCTAAATAGTTTTATATGTTATTGGTTAGCCACACCCAATTACAGATTAAGGTAAAATAATCTTTGATTTGGCACCTGAAGGTGTCTCCTGTCTGGACAGGTGTGACCTCTTGTTCCAACGAAGACATGGTGTCCCTGAGATGCTGACGTATTTGGGCGCCAGCTGAGCCAGAGGATTTAATGCATGTAAAACAGGCTGCAGGACAGATACAGGAACAACAGTAACAGGCATAACAGCAGTGAGAAGTTAGTCTGCAGGGGTTTGTGATTGCAGTTTCCTGAAGAGTTTCAAGAATGGAGCGCTCTGTGCAAAAAGCCCACAGACCGAGCTGGAGGACTGTGGCCAGGCGGGGACCATCCTCACATTTTGTGAGCAGCACCATTATCATTCTGTCCACTTACAGCGCCATGATGCTGACCATAAACATGGGCAAGAATCTGCAAGAGAAAAGAAGCAACGGCCTTTGAGGACATTACAGCCTTAAGATGGATTTCTTCTGAACCTTCTGGAGGTCGGTGACAGTGGAGAGCGGAGCCTCAGAGAGAACTGTGAGGAGCCAATACTTCATGCTCTAACGACGTCTTATCAATGCAGGAAATAAAGGCACTAAAACATCTGTCCTTCTGAGGAGATCCGTGCAGTGCTGCCTTATTACCACAAGATAGAGCTCAACAGCAACATCTAAGACTGAGACCAGCCTCTGCTCAAAGTCTCTGTTCTTTGTGCAAATCATTATTGTGATGTTTGAATGGAACTGTTATTATTTATGAAATGCAACGATATCATGAGTCTGTACTGGAATAAATAATGAGAAAAATATATATGTGTATTTGTCTTTTCATTGTATACTTACACACTCCTGGTAATAAGAGAAAATATTACATTTGACGGATAGAGTTAGTACAAGCAGTGCTGCAAACAGAAAAACATCTCCAAATCTAACTTGGTCTTACAGACCAGAATGAAGAATGACATTTACATTACATTATACTTGATTTATTCTAAATATTCACAGCTATTTACCTTGTTTAGCGTTCCCCTTTTATTCCTACTGATTTGTAAAGTGCACAGCCACTCTGACACATCTCCACTGTGGGATGAATAACAGCTCTCTTTCTTATCTACTGGACCCGATAGGAGATAAGGTGTGAGGTCAAGAAGTCAGTCACATATAATAAGAAACTAAAACATGCATGACAAAATCGACTATAGTTCTACTCAAATGAAATCAAAATCAAAATGGCTGCAAAGAAGAGGTTTGTGGCCAGTTGGGGCTGGCCTAAGGTGCCAACAGTGGCGCTGGTCCAATCCTTTTAAATGAGGCAACAACAACAAGGGGACAGAAGGACACTTGTGATCTGCTTTTTAGCTCCTCACAGAATATCTTCATCACAAAGACAAAACTGCTCATTTAGTTACAAGATATCTATTCTCCACATTGCGCATGACATTTTTTGACTACAGACTGAAGACTGGACAACACAAACATGAGAATAATGCCAACATTTAGGTCTGAATCATAGACTGTAAATACATTGAATCTTAATATATACATAATAGCACAGTTGTGGTTGCCAAAGAGAAGTCACAGGACTGTTTAAACTGGGGGTCGCAAGATGATTTTTTGTGAGATTAATAAACGTTATATTTTAGGATAAGGTCAGAGAACATGATACATGACTCAAACAAGCAACATTGTAATAACTGACTGTCCCAATAGACAAGAAGGTTGGTCTGTTATATTATTCATTATACACATATTTGTATGGATGGTTGTGTCTCTGCCGCACCTGACTTTCTCATACAAGGGATCAATAAAGTATCTATCTATCTTTCTATCTATTTATTGACATATTCATACAACTCTAAAATGCAGCCAGCCCAGATGACACTGGTGTACCTTTGTGGGGGGAAAAAAATCAGAATAATTCTTCACTATTTTAAACGACGAGATCTCCAATACGTCTTGTCTCTCCCATCACGGTTTCACCAAAACCCCAAACTTGTAATGAACATTAATTGCTTCCTTGTTTAGTCCAGTTACATCCAACAGCCCGACCATAGCTGTTCGTCGGTTAAAAGTCTCATTAGGCCATGCAGTGAGGGATTAGACGAGTGCGCATGGCCCAGGGGGAAGATTAAAGAGCAAAAGAAGCAGCATAAAAACAATGTGCGGTCATCCATTTTAGAGATTTAGCAGAACAAATATGAACCACTATGCACATTCAAATACAGCAGCTATGACGTTTTCACACTTTGGGGATATTTTGAAAGCTACAACACTGGTGCATTACTGACAAGACCTTTAGAATCAGTTTGTGTTCTGCAGATGGGCTGTTTTGCCTCCACCTTCTACAGATGCTTTTGTTGTGAGGATGAGGAGGAGAGAGCAGACAGATGATATTTCAGGACACAAACATGCTGCGGTCTGCACAGTTGTGTTCTGCAGAGATTGTAGTTGTGTGTCCTGAGCGAATGCCTCAGTATTAAATCTCTGTTGTACTGAGCTCTGACCCTGTGGCCCGACCTCCAGCGCACTATAGAAAGGTGTGACTCAGCAGCACCAGGAGGAAACCACACAACCACAACATGCCACTCATGTGCTTGCTTTTCACTCGTATAAGTCAATTTATTCCAATCTCATTTGAGTGTTTCCATTCACTACGTTGGAAGGAGCGGTGTCAACGGATTTGGTAAACATCTTATTGGGAGATTAACAAGAACAGAGGGAAGAGGAGCGAGCGGTGGGGGCGAGAGAGAGCGTTTTCCCAGCCCTGGTCAGAGGAGGGAGGGGTGAGAGGACAGACATGCCCTTCATTTAATGCTGTGACAAAGTGGAGAGGAGCCCCTGGGCAGCGGAGATCACACACACACACACACGGGCAGAGAGAGAAGAAGCAGGACGGAGCAGAGCAGACGACACAACAGCACCAAAGAGGAGATAAACAACAGACGCCTCTCTTCTTCCATCGACAGGTAACGACTGCTTATTATGAGGCGTTAGTCCAGAAAACTGCCTTTTTTTGTCTATGACTCTATTGTCAACTGATGGGTATAAACCTTGCATTTTCTTTGATGATTGAAAGTAAAAGAGAACTCTGTTGTCACAAATTTGTGTTGTAATCTCAAAATCAATCTCCATAAACCTGTGAAGCAAATGTTTTTGTTCTATTTACATAATTTTGGGATGTTTTGAATAAGAGATGTTGAATAATGTCATGAAAATATATTTAATGGAAAATCCTTATGTCTCTGACAGGAGTTCTATGTGATGATAATGTACATGCTTTGTCTTAAAATATATGTTTTTCATATAGATTAATTAATGTAGTTTATTGTGACATTTGTAAATCTGTGCTCTTCTTCTGCTTCACATTCAGACTGCAGAAGGAACAGGTTAAAGCAGAAGCTGACCTGAGTGTCAGAGGCTGGTGAGACAAAGAGGCTGTGATGTCTACTCGGGCTTAACTCTGTGGCTGCGCTCCGGACAGCCTCCTGTCAGATTAAAACAGTTGCCACAGTCTCACCTAATTAGGCTCACCCAGTGGACAGGTCACACATGCAGAGCACTGGCTACTGTCCAGGATCAATGAAGAAATGACATGTGACATGATGTCAATGTCCCCTCTGTGCCCAGAAGTTCAGAGTTTGGAGTACATCTTTATCATTCTCATTTTACTCTATCATCCGTTGTACCAATCAAGAAAAGTAAATACATACAGATATTTTGTATCAAAACAAGGTGGTTCAGTACTTTTCCAATATTTGCTTCAAGGCCAAACATCGCAACATCCAAAATGAATAATGGTGTTCTTTTTATATTCTTTGGTTAGAAACCCAGCAAGAGATGTTGTTTTTCTGTAATTATTTCTTAACCACATATTCCTTTGATTAGATCTGAACAGAGGCCCCAATATAGCTCAGAGTGTGGGCATGCATATATGATATGGACAAAATCTGGATTCTCTATTCTGTCAAGCTCATGAGTTTGTCGCGCTTACCTTCTCTGGATCTTTTGCAGATCCTATTTGAGAAGATGGCGGTAACCTTTGTGCTGCCACTCTGCTTGGGTTTGTTGGCTGGGCTATTTGGGGGCTCCCATTCCGATGGGGTGTGTCTTCAGGACGGCAAACACAAAGCTGACCCGAGCCCAGAGCCTCACCTGCAGGAGTGCTCTCTCTATGCAGACAGTGAGTATTTGTTCCCTCTCCTTTGAGAAAGCGATAATAAGCTGTGGTTAGATATGTGATATATGCATTTCTCCTGACAGACAGCTGTTGTAAAGAGGAGCACATACAGGACGTATCCCATGTCCCATCTCCCAGCAATAAGAACGAGCCGTGGGACAAGTGTGGACCCCTGAGCCCCGAGTAAGTCCAGCAAATAAAGACCATATTCTGCTAATGAGGAAACACATAAATGAACAACTACGGCATTAGAAGGTTTTTTATACAAAGTTAGATGAATATTATAGCTTAATAATGCCAGATGTGTATACAACGTTAAACTATATTGATAGAGAGAGATACAACAATATATTGATATTGAATCATTTACAGGTGGCTAAGAAACATAGCAGCTACTTATACTGTGTATGTTGTGTGCTCCCTGTGTGATCTACTGTCTTGTCTGTGTGCTGCAACATGGAAATAAAGATTCTCTTATTCTTATTCTTATATAACTGATCCTGACGTAAGCCTTAGTGGCGTCAGGATGGATCAAATGCAGAGGACAAATTTCTGCGGGGACAATAAAGTGCACATTTACGTTTACATTTAACCGATATCTACCGATTGTTGGTTTTAAATGCTGTCAATATGAAGCACTTTGGGTTGCATTCTGTATGAATTGTACTTTATAAATATATGATTGACACATGTGGAGGTCTATTTCATCAGGAGACTTTCAAAAGTTTAGGATATGTATCTTTGCACATGTTTCAGGTATTCTACAGCGCATGTACAATGATTGTGTCCATAAATTAATGTGTGCGTGTGCATGTGTGTTTCTTTTTGTGTGTGTGTGTGTGTGTGTGTGTGCAGGTGTGAGGGCTTCCTGAAGCGCGTGTCTTGTTTCTACCGCTGCTCCCCGGACGCGGCGCGCTGGCCTCACCCACAACGAACCTCCTACATCCAGGCGGTGCCTCTGTGCCACAGCTTCTGCCGGGAATGGTGCGTCTGCCACTCACCTTACACACTGTGATGGCACCAGGACAAACTCTATAACAGTGAAAGACAATTAATAAGATAAGCCAATGTATGAGTGCACATGATCAAAGGGATTGTTTTATGAAAGTCAAATATGATGTGATTGAAACATAACCCTTTAAACAAATGTATGTCCTTCTCTCCACGGCAGCAAGTGAAGAGACAAATTTAAAATAAGATTGCTGATTGTTGCGCAGGTCCATTTAAAAACTGATTTTGCTTCTTCAGGTTTGACGCCTGCAGAATGGACATGACCTGTGCCCGCAACTGGGCCAAAGACCCTCGAGGGCAGAACTGCTCTGGATCCTGCATTTCATACCAACAGGTAGAGAGTGTGTTCACTGTATTTTGAGGCGTGGGAGGTGTGTGTGTGTGTGTGTCCTTCAGATTTAGTGAGAGGAGGCAGAAGGGTTAAATAGTGTAGCTCATGCATGAAAACGGTGGTCCTGCTTCAGTGGTCAGGGGCAGCGGCTGATTGTAGCAGCCGGGACAAACAAACAGTCCATCCATCTCCCTGAGTCCCTGCAGCCTCTGCTCTGGGGCCAAACACAGCCGCTGCCAAAAACTATTATTGGAATCTATATAGTGCTATTCATTACAGAGACATCAATCAAGTGTTTCAGTTTTGTTTTCTATTCATTTTGATTTAATATGACTTTTTTATCGCCAAAGGGCAATTCACATGAATGCTTTTATCATATATATGTTTTGTATTTTGATAATTATAGATGCGACTGCAGGAGATATTTTGGTACTGCGGAGATTGTGATGTGCCTTTGTGTTGTTGGCATTGGCCTACTTTCATCTAGGACACAGCTAATAGCCGGGCATTCCTGTAACTCTCTGAATTCTGTTTTGAAAAAGGGATTGAGTCACAATGATGACCTGACCATACAAATCCCAACCAATCATTCTCTTCTTTTCCCTTTATCGGGGGAAAACCTCTTCATAATATTGTTGTAGCTCTTGTCGGTCCATTCTATTTTAAAAAGTAGATAATTAAAATGATGTTCTGTTAAAGTAAACGGAACATATTTCTAAGAAGAGGTTTGGATTCTCAATTTCCTTTGGATGTTTCTAAATCCATTGTTCATCAGCAGAATGTGCATTTGGAACTTCTATAATCCTTGCCAAATGGATTTGCCGCATTTTAATGTCCACCAGATGAATAGTAAATGCTTTGTGTATGTCAATTTGCATTGAAACAAGCTCATACATCCACACAGAGACGTCCAGTGCATGCAAAGTCCACTGGCACAGCTCCCACCGAGGCTGCGGCCAAGATCTGTCCTTCTCTACATAAGCCTATCAAAGGAGACGAGGTGCTCATCCCATGTCTGTGAATAAAAAGGAAAATCAATCCTCACATAAAAAAATAAAAACACTGGTTTATTTCAGTCGTCAGTAGGTCTAGAGATTAGTGGCTCGATCGGATTCATTTGTCCTTGACCATTATTTGTGAATGAGAGGGATCGTTGAGTGTTGCTGCAGTGAACGGCAGGTCCACTGTCAGTCTGCAGAAGTAAATGTAGATATGGTTTTTGTTATTTGGCTGTGCTGCGTTCACCTTCAACTTTCCATGCACAATCATAATTTATTAATGATGGGTGGAAATGTTAGGTTTTTTAAAACATATACAGTATTCCAGGACAGTCATATGTGTAAAGTGAAACCAGGGATCAAACGATTCAACCAGTTGATTGATTTAATCCATTGACAAAACAAGATTATTTGTTTGAAGTTTGAAGCAAAATCAAGCATATGTAATTCACACTTGAGGATGTTTTGGGAAAATGTAAAAAACTAATAAAAATAATAATACAAAATATATGAAACACGTCAATAAAGTATATTTTGCTTCAACTCAAACTATGACGTGACAGAAATGCAGGTGACAGAGGGAGTTTTTGAGCTTTTGAACCTGAAGATAATTAAGATAAGATGAGAGATCCTTTATTCGTCCCACAGTGGGAAAATGTCAATGCTGCAGCGCACATACAGGACAGTAGAAAGAGCACACAGGGAGCACACAAAGAGCACACACGGAACACACAAATGCTTCAATATCAATTCATTGATTCATCGCTATCTTTTTATGCATGTATAGTGCAAAGTTATAAACATTTAGGGCAGGATCCGTAGATAAAGTGACATTCAGTGGATGTTCTGAAGCTGCAGTATTGCATATTGCACATGATCACTGTGTTGACTATTTAAAGATGAATGACATGTACAGACTCAGCAGTTCTCATTGTACAGTCTGACAGCAGCAAAGACCTACGGAACCTCTCTTTCACACAACAAGGGTTTTATAAGTCTGTCACTGAAGCTACTCTCCAGAGTTGACACTGCTCTGGAGAGTGTCCTGCAGGGGGTGACAGTCATGGTCCAACATAGATTCTAGTTTGTCCAGGACCCTCCTGTCCCCCACCTGCTGCACTGTGTCCAGGGAACAGCCCAGGACAGAGCTGGACTTCCTGATGACCTTGTCCAGATTCTTTTTGTCCCTCTCTGTGAATCTGCTGCTGATGCATCACACAAATGCTTTAATGTTCCATCAGCAGGCAGACACTACATTTGCTTCAACAGGGGACTGTGACAAATCGTGGCTTATAGAGTTATTGGACTGGTTTGAGGTGTGTTTCGCTTGATTCTGAAGCAGACAGTGGAGGTGAGATGGGCGACAAGAGGCAGCTGCCCATCCACAACACAAGGATTTGAACAATGTATATAAAAACAGTTATGGATTTGAAGATGTGCCATTCCCCTGCTCTGATAATCCACTACCTGCCATCATCATCACTGCATTATTGCATTATTACATATTCCATTCATCTGATAGCGCTGCTCTGATAATCCACTAGTCACTTTTCCTGCTGCTTTTATTACCATTGATTATTCTGGTCATATTCTCCGCTGCTAAAGAATCTATTATCTTAAATAATATATTCAGTTTTTATGTGTGCACGACCTGAGTGCTCTCATATTTTCTCTTTTTATTCTGCCGTAATGTGCGCAAAGATGACATTAAAATTCCCCACTGAGGGATGAATATAACTTTATTTTATCTTATTTTATGAAAACACACAATACAAGTTATGGCTCTCTAACAAGACTCTGCTTAGACCCTGCAGATGGTGGATGTCAACAGTAAACTTGTCAAAGTGATAAGCACCATGTTCTTTTTATATTGCTCTGTTGATTAGAAACACTGGGGACACATTTGTTTTAAAGTTCAGTTCGTGCTGGGGTTGGTAGATTACCCAACAAGGAGAGATTTTTTTTCCTGTTGTGTCTGTGAGCTCCAGGGGTATAGGGTCTTTATCCAATCACTGTTTTGAGAGAGTCTGAATAGATGTGTGCCACTAGCGCCGGCTTCTCGTGGGGCCCTCAGAAAAAACACCTTCAGGACACAGCTATTGGATCATGAGCCATCGTGATTGTTTGTATTCGCTGGTGTACAATGGCAATGACATTCCAAGGTCATAGAAAGGAGACATAAGCGTCTGCCTTTCTGATCGCTACCCCCCCCCCCCCTCTGCCCCTCTCACACGGACCATAACCACATCCTCATCCACCAACAATAGCCTTGAAACTTTGCTATTCATTCTGTCACTATCTCCTCGTATATGTGACTGTGTTCCTTTTGCACCGATGCCAAGATTGTATTGTATTGTATTGTTGATGCTCTAAACTCTCTCTGTGACAATGACAATGCAGTAGAATCTTGAATCTTTCATTAAATAATAAGGAGAATAAGAGACCCCAGCTCGTAAGAGTTTAAATAATTGTTAGTATTATTCAAAAGACAAAGTAAAAGCAGTCCAAATAAATCTGTATCTAAGTCGAACGGCCAAAAGTCTTCAGTTCCAATGACTATGCCTTTTGTACATTATACATGGGGTCCACTGTTTTAATGGATCCATATTCTGGAACCACCTTTATGTGAAAGCCATCCTGTCAGACCTATGAAGCTAAGAAGGGCAGGGCCTGGATAGTACTGTGATGAGAGACTTCTAGAAACATCAGGTGTCACAATGCAAAGGTTGTACAACAACAAACTGTTGCTGAGGCTTCATGCAAGACACTTTACCCACATTGGTGTGTGTGTGTGTGTGTGTCAACCATTAATTCAATTTGGAGAGACGAGAAAACAGGAAGTTTGAGTATTTTATGAAAGGAGGTTTGGCGCCCTAGGTCCCGGTGCGGCCTTCAGATCGGAAAGGCTCCTGCGATGGAGCGCGCACAATCCCCAAAAAGGCTGCGTGTTGATGGAGTTTTCGAAGCCTGGTTTGGAGGGGACAGACGTCGTGACTGCTCTATTCTGTGACCGCTATCGCTATATGCTGTGACCGCTATCGCTATATGCTATGACCGCCAGCGCAATGCTGCTAACCATTTTTTGCTATATGCTGTGACCGCTATCGCTATATGCTGTGACCGCTATCGCTATATGCTGTGACCGCTATTGCTATATGCTGTGACCGCTATCGCTATATGCTGTGACCGCTATCGCTATATGCTGTGACCGCTATCGCTATATGCTGTGACCGCTATCTACTGTGATCAATACTTGCGGATACTCGGCTGCTGGCGGCGCCTATCCGGAAGGAGTGAGCTGTGTAGAGATGGGGAGACAGGTTACAAAGCAGCAGTACGGACTTTAGTTGGGCTCTGAACCCGTTGGATGACATTGGGAGGTGATCGGGGGTGAAAAATAACGGTCCGTTGAGATCTCCTTTCCGAGAGCGGAGGCGAGTGTAATGCATCATGGGTTATCTTTGCGCGCTGGGAACGTGAGCGTTCGCATCACGTTCCGTCAGACGCTGCGGCAGCGGAGAGTGTTTGAGAAGTGCGTGCCGCCACCAGAATCTTATTTGCTTCACTTACTTTGCTGGGAGCTTGCGAGGAAGCCAGTAGACGTTGTGCAGCCAGGATAGCGGACGCGTCTGGCCTGATGTAGGCGGAGAAAGCCGAAGAGGACCAGCTCCCCAGCTGTTGGAGAGGTGTGTGGGAGCCCCAGCGAGGCCGCGCGCGTGGCAGCGCCTATCCTGAAGGAGTGGGCTGTATGGAGCTGGGGAGACAAATTACAGAGGAGCAGTAGGGATCTTAGTTGAGCTCTGAACCAGGTTGCTGTCATGGGAAGGTTGTCTGGAGTGAGAATTAGAGGTCCGTTAAATCTCCTTTTTGCAGTGGAGGCGAGTGTAACGCATAAAGGATTTGTAGGGGCAGAGAGATGTGTCCGAGCGAGCTATTACTATATTGCAGGCTCCTTTGATTTTTGAATGTTTGAGACGGAGGTTGAAATGGTCAGGGGACATTATGTTGGGTGAAAAAGAGCGACCTTTGTGTAATGCTTCCACTACGTCGAGATTATCACACGTGACAGAGATCCTCTTTCTCTGCCACGTGTGATTCCACAGCGCGCAGGCCACGACCACTGGGAATATCTCGTGTAGGGCAGAGGAGATGCTCCGGTGGAAGTAGCGGCCACGGCCCGGCGAACCACTGGTCCTGGAAGAACCCCCAAAACCCATGGAAAGGGCAGCGTCCGTGTAGAAGCGGAGACCTGTAGGGGCAGAGACATACCGGAGAGGGCCATTGATGTTGCAGGCGCCCTTACGCTTAGAATCTGGGGTTGGAGAGTAGATAATCAGGACAGTAGGATAGGTCGGGAAGCCGCGTCTCGGACCGCATGAAGGTTGAGTGTGCAGTAGTGAACGCTTATGCAGAGAAGTCATAGAAGGCGAGCAGGAAGATGCTGCGAGGAGGGCAGACATGTACTTGGAAGATGAGCCGGAGTTCAGTGCCGCTCAGAGCCGCTGCAGGATGGGCAGCATGATTGGGAGCCTGCGATCAGAAGAGTGAAGAATACAGGTATGGATGCCTTTGATTGGGAGTCCGATTGACGGCTCAGCGCAGCTACTCGGCCGGCTGCATCTGATAGAATCAGAAGATTAGGTAGAGAGATGAAGCATGACCCCGAAGCGACCCTGGGAGCATAGGTACGAGGCCAGCGCGGCGCGGCATACTCGGCCGGGCAGCGTCCATTAGAAGCAGGATAAGCTTCTGAGAGAGTGGGTTGCAGCAGTAGCAGTAGCAGCAGCGGCAGCAGCAGTAACCTCAGATAATAACAGCGATAGTCCTGTATCAAGCCGCGGCAGCAGCAGCAGCAGCGGCAGCAGTAGCAGCATCCTTAGAGATTAACAGTAATAATCCTGTATCAAGCCACAGCAGTAGAATGTTGTCGTAGCTGATCAGTGTTTCAGTAAAAGAGATGCAAGTGAAGAGAGATGGCAAGTAGATGAAGCAGCAGCAGCAGCGGTAGTAGCGGCAGTAGCGGTATGAAGCAGCAGCAGTAGCAGTAGCGCAGTAGCAGTATGGAGCAGCAGCAGCAGTAGCCGTATGAAGCAGCAGCAGCAGCAGCAGCTGCAGCATCCGTAGATAATAACAGCAATTATCCTGTATCAAAGCCACGGCAGTAGAATGTTGTTGTAGCTGTTCAGTGTTTCAGTAAAAGAGATGCAAGTGAAGAGAGATGGCAAAGTAAATGAAGCAGCAGCAGCAGTAGTAGCAGCAGTAGCAGTATGAAGCAGCAGCAGCAGCGCAGTAGCAGTATGAAACAGCAGCGGCAGCAGCAGCAGCTGCAGCATCCGTAGATAATAACAGCAATAATCCTGTATCAAAGCCACAGCAGTAGAATATTGTTGAAGCTGTTTAGTGTTTCAGTAAAAGATGCGAAGTGAAGAGAGATGTCAAAGTACATGAAGCAGCAGCAGCACGGCAGTAGTAGCAGTATGAAGCAACAGCGGCAGCAGTAGCAGCAGTAGCGGTAGCAGTATGAAGCAGCAGAAGCAGCATTAGCAGGAGCAGCAGCACCAAGATGCGATTCATACAACCAACAGACGTGTCACGCCAGCGTGCGCCGCTTGACTCCGTGAGCCAGGTTACATACGTGTCTGAAAGAGCCGAGCCGTAGAGACAGGTGCAGCCTGGGAGCCTGCGGAGCGGCAGCGGCAGGAACAGCAGCAGCGGCACGTGTAGTAGGAGGAGCAGCAGGAGCAGGCAGCAGGAGCGGCAGCAGGAACAGGCATCAGCGGGATCAGGCATCAGTAGGAACGGCAGCAGGGACCGGCAGCAGCGGTGGTCAGAGAACCGTGCCCACGGTTGTTTAACAGCCTGAGGAAATAAATCAACCCGAATCCGGAACATTCCCATGCGAATAACAGATGTCTCCTGGAACCATCTTGCTGCTTTGGTTATGGCAGATACGCATGAACGATCACTGTTCCACGCGTTCATTAGCTCCAACACCACTTCACACCCATTGCAGATTCACATTGGGCCCTTTTTCTTTCTGCTGCACTTTCAAAATGCAACAACTGCAGTTTAGTTACCCAATTTAATACTAGTGACCTAGCTATTTAAATGCATGGCCCCTCCTTCCTCCTGCAGATAGACGAATTTAATACAATCATTTAACAATAGTGACCTGCGAGTAATGAGATTAATGCTGTAAAGATGGCGCCGTGGCAAGAGCTCTGGTGTGTGCCGTCTGGAGCACAATGGGGTAGTCTTGCAGATTTTTTTTTTTTTTTTTTTCTCGACGTGGTTTTACTGCGAGTGGCAGAACATGAATCTGAATTAATGCGCATTGCGCCGCTTGTATCCCCAGACGATAGAGATTGATGCCATTTAATATGCATTGCCCCTCAGTTAGCTCAGACACATGTGAAAACGGAGCCTGCAGACCAAGCACGGGGCGAAAAACTGACGCCTGCAGTCAAGTGCGCGGGGCAAAAACTAATCGCCTGCAGCCCAAAACTCCGGGATTAATCCGTCCGCGGTCGGCACACTCACTGTACTCACATGCCAGGAGACTTGGGAAAAGCAACGGGACAACGCGGCACCGCCAATCGAGGCAGGGACACGCACGGCACCGCCAGACCTTCTGCGTGCGGCAGCAGACCACGAGGAAGGAGCAGCACAGAACCCGCGGAGGGCCCCGCGGAGCAGCCCGCAGAAAGAGCCCGCAGAGGAGAGCAGTGGAGACACGCGAACCACAGCAGGTGCAGGGACACGGAGGGGGAGCAGACCACAAGCAGCCAGACTGAGGACGCCAGGGTCGCGCCGAGTAGCGTGAGTAGACGAAAACGATTCCTCCAGACGATTCTCTGCAAGGCTTCGAGGGCTTGCAAGGCTTCAGAGGCCGAGAAGTGGGAGTTTCTCCGTTTTTATGCGGCTGGCGTAGTCGGTACAGATGATTGGAAGGGGGCGTCTGCTGAGCGATAGGCTGGGGATGCGAGCCGGCCTGGAGGGGGTAATTTTGGTTAACGTCTACCAAATTGAATTTCGCTGGCTGCATGAGCGTTACAAATGTTATTTAAGTATTGTGAGTACTGTATTTAAAAACGATATAAGCAATGATTGAACCATTCTCCTCTTTATAATAATACACCTCCATGTGTCTTCTCCAGATGTACCAGCACGGGCGAGACCTGTGCGAGAGCCTCTGGGGCGATGCGTTCATGGTGGTGGAGGACGAGCCGGAGGAGCTGGCGGACCACACCGGAGCTCCTTGCGGCTGCTTGACCCTCAGTGCCTCCGACAGGGACAAGATGGCCGCCCTGAGAGCCCAGCAAGACGACCCCGAGGAACTGGACACCACCAAGACCGGCCTGCCCCAGTACCGCGCGCCCTGCCACACCGGCCCTGCGCCCCCCCGCAGCCCCCGCAGGCCAAACTCAGTCCTGCGGAAACGCTCTCTGGCGGTGGACGACGGAGAGGGCAGCGGGAGTGGTCTGTAGACACTACTGTAGATGAGGATGGTATAGAGACAGTTTGACTTTGTTGCCAGTAATTAAGCATACCAGTCGTCAGTACAACAATAATGGTTTGACACACTCCATACAGGACTTCAGATACTAGTTAGAAGCATATTTAATGGTAAAAGAGCTGTTGTGTCCATTTTGATTATAGTAATGAGGATGTTGCTCAAATACTTATGTACTCATAGATAGTTTACGCACGATCTGATATCACCAAGTTTTTGACCGTCCATGATCACTGTTACTTAACCCTAAACCTATTCCTTGTCCTAACCCTAACCTCTGACCCCTAACCCTTCTCTAACCCTAACCCTGAAACATCCACCCTGGACGAAAAACTTTGAGATTGATCCCGGACTGTGGATTACTTTGTAATATCAGACCACGTGATTATAGACGACATACTAATGAGTATTTAAAGATGCACTGAACAGCATTTCTGATGGGGACTGCTTGTTGCTTGTTGCCATGGAGATGTTATTGTTTGGAATGTACCTCAGTAAAAAGACTAAGTGACGGGTGGATGGGCAGCAAGAAAGGTTGTGGGTTCAGCTTCTGTGACGAACCTTTCTTTGTAGAGTTTCCTCCATCTCCCAAAATGTGAACCATAAGTGAAATCCTCCTGCTCCAGTCGTCCTGCCTAAGATGGGTCCCGGAGCGGATATCAATGCTCCTGACGCTTTCCCTTGTGGCATTAAAGGATGGGTCGAATGCAGAGGAGAAATTCCCCCTCAAGGAAATGAAGTGCACCATACCCCACCTTAAAACCTCTGGGGATTTTTGTAAGTCACATGCTTCTCTCCAATGTAGATGGAAAAGTACAGTAGGGCCAAACAGTATTTAGTCATCCACCAATTGTGCAAGTCCTTCCACTTAAAACAATGAGAGATACCTTTTCGTAACGTAGCGTAATTTTCATCATAGGTGTACGAGAGACAAAATCCAGAAAATCACATGTCTGATTATTTGTCTGGGCAGTGTGTTTGGGATCCCAGCCTTGTGTCATCTTCAATGCCTTTGCTGATGGAAGGAGGTTTTCATGTATCCATATATCTCACAAAACATGAATACATAGAATCACATGATACATGGCTCCATTCTTTCTCTCTGTGCAAGTCCTCCCCTTTTAAAGTAGGAGGACTTGCACAATCTGTGGCTGACTAAAACATTTTTTCCCCACTGTAAAATTCCTTTCACTGGGTTCGATTTGTATTGTCTTCTTTAAAAGTCTAATATACTTAAAGAATAAATTTAAAATGAGATGTACATTCCAAAGCCATACTGTGGAACATTCCAGCAAAACAATAACTGGACCCAAAGAGTGAACGCTCCTCCAGAAAAGTTGCGTCATGCATCTTTCACTCCTGCAACAAATGTCCTCAACACGACACTGATCTGTTTCAAAACAAAGGAGATATTAGTGGACCAGGGCACACTTGTTTAGTGCTTTCATAGCTGTATTTTTCCCAAAGTGAACCAGAATCCATTTCAATTGAAAGTGTGAATGCAGAGATTTGGACCCTGTACAAGTGAAACATCTGAACATTCTAATACATGTTGTTTCAGAAGCGGGTTTTGTTTTAATGTGTCGATAACAGTTAGAACTTCTGTGAACTTGTTGATTGTTTGCCTGAGCACCCACATTTTACTTCAATAACAAACACATATTAATCATATTGTCAAAGAGCCTGGCTGGTCAGGCAAGAGAATAGTGATGGCATAATGATACTGTCTCTGATAGTAGAGGCAAAATAATGAATGTATTTTTGTCTTTCTAACAAGGACCGCAGGCTGAGGCCAAGGAGATCTGCTTTGACAGTTTAATAAAACCTGGGGGTAGAATTTATATGCAGAAATAGAAGGTCCCTTGCAGACCCCATGTGACCTGCCAGAGGAGGCAACAGATGAGGCTCTGCTCGACATGATGTGTTTTTAGCGCTGTAGACAAATACTTGTTAGACGAGATGCATTCAGAAGGTCACTGATAAAAGATGGAATGTGCCTCATGTTCAAAAGGATGTCTCAGCATTTACTCTTAATAAAGACCATTGTAAATGTCACCAGATTTCCTCAGTCTTTGAGTTTCAGCTTAGCAGTTATAGAACCGTTTCATTCATGATCATACAGAATGCTTATCATCTCCAAGACGTTATGATAATGACTTACAATATATTGCCTTTTTAGGGTGATCTGGTCTGTTGGAAAGTCTGGAGCATTTTATTACTCTGGCTCAGCAGGCTGCTCTAAAGAGCAAAGCATAATCAAAACAGGAGGTGGAAAACAACAACAAATAAACAAGACAGTCAAAAATAGGGCCTCATAAATAAAATAGCTGTAAAATAACTCAGAACAAAAAGACAATTTTCAATCTAAACTGGAACTACAGTGCATTGGGCGCCCCCGTGTGGTGGAAATATAGAATCGGGGTTCCGGACACGTGTGTGGGTTCCTGTCGTTTTGACCGAAAGAGGCACAAATGAAGTGCTATTTTATACGTCAGAAACTGTTCTCTGTAGTAGTTTACGCACACTCTAGATGTCGCTTTCAAGAACTTCGCGAACAGGCCGTTGCAGAAACGCTGCAAACTTGCATTGTCCGCCTACAGTTTGGTAAGTACTGTGTAGTACCACGGAAGCATAAACAAATATATCTTGCATTTTGTTGCGGTATTAAAGAAATCACAGGATTTGAGAGGGCGCGTGTATGCCAATTACACTTTACCATTTTACCACTAGATGGTGCTGTGATGCTACTAAAACCCTGACACCTGTTCTAGTGTTGAATTATTTCCAATATTACTATTAAAAAGACATTGATGAAATTAGTCATATTGTACTATAATGTTGTTTAATGTTTGTTTGATTAATACTTTTGTTTTGGAGGTTTCCTTGATAATATCCTTCCGTAGGATTTAGTGAAACACTGGTGATTAGCGAAATAAAATGAAAACATATTTAAATAAACAACAGCCAATTAAACAAATGTAGTTATTCAGAACATCACCCTTCTTCATTTCAGATTTTCCAATGCATAACCCACTTCAGCAAACTTTCTCCCTCTTTTCAAAGGAGCCGGCCCAGTGCAGACAACTTTGTATTCTAATAGCGGCCTCCGTAATCCACTGTCTGATGTGTGAGCGGCTCAGATGGTCGCAGTGAGGTGGGAGGAATAATCATACTTGTCAAAAAGACCAGTCTGCGTGTACGTGCATGTGAGCGTGTACGTGAGCGTGTAAGTGGGGGGGATTCGAGCCCACCCGGCCGCCCTCTTCTTGCGTACGTCAGAATTGTTGTTCCCACGGACGCGCTGTGCTGTGGGCTGTGAGGCTGGAGAGAGGAATATAGAGCGTGCGCGCGTCTGGATGTGCGCACTGTGATGTAGGCCTGCTGCTGCTGCGTGCGTAAAACAAGAGAGAAGAGGCGCTCGCAGCTATTTTCAGCAGCACAGTTGTACAGAATGGCAGTTCTCCTCGGAAACTCGACAACTATAATCTCCAATCCAAACGTTTGGTTATTATAAAACTGTGACCCGAAAAACCCGGATGAAATATGAGGCTTTTTTAAATTTTTATTTAAATATATTTTGGTTGTCTCATGGCAAGACTGGCCAATGGGACAAGCAACTTTCTAACCTTGGCAATCATGACATTGTGCTTTTTTAATTGGAAAATCTTGTTCTAAGCCTGACGACATCTATACTAAAATCAAGATAAATTCAACAAATTCAAAGATTTATTTATTTATTTTGTCATTTTTGCACTGTATGTTACTCAGTATTGTCTCCAATAGTGGATGATTCTTGATGATTTGAGAAAATGTTGCATTCAAATGGAACTATTTTAAACATTGAATATATCGACCAGCCAAAAGGAGAGTATTGGGACTTTTAGTTCAAATGACGTGATTGTCTTATGTTTTTCTGACACGCTCCACTCACTAAAACCACATCAAGGGCCCCGTGCGCCTGTGGTCTGAGCTCTCACCTCAACCTGTGTTGGAGGGAGGCCTGTACACCGCTTTCCTGTGCCATGTTTCCATCAATAACAAGTCTACCCTCTCCTGTTTCTGTGGCAGAGATGTGGAAAAACAACCAGCTCTCCCACACAAGTGACTTTCAGCTGAATTAAGGGACAGCGTCACAGATAAGTATCTGTTTGGTGTTTGCCGTCACTGTGTGAGAACAGGGTCAGCAGCAGAAGCAGCACTGATGACAGCTGTACGTTATATTATCTGTGGCCTTCAGGCTGGGGTAATTCACTTCAACACCAATTATTTATTTATTCATAATCCATAACAACCATTTCACTAGTTCAGTTGGATTCTATCACTAGTTTTCATAAGCATTTATCTTTATACTCTGTCGCACATAGATCACACTTTCCAGACAGCAAAGTGTAGAAGAGAGGACCGACAATCTATACTCAGCCCAAAGTGACTCCCAGGGCTCTTTTTTTACGCAAATACATATGGCCAAAACTGTCAACAGAATTTGACTTCATAATTATTTTATTGTATTGGATGTTTAGTTTATATAGCGCAATTTTAAAGACCAAGGGGACTGAAAGAACTTCACAATGTTCATAGTTCAGATACGTTCCCACTCTCTCCAAACACGGTGATGACAGAAGCGAGGCGCCGAGCACACTGGCATCGAAGCCCCAAAACCAACCCCATCCATTCACTCACTCATATACATTCAAACCTACAGCACATGTTTTTAGTGGTAGAGGAAACAGGAGCACCCGGAGGAAACCTACGCAGACACGGGGAGAACATGCAAACTCCACACATAAAGGCCTGGAGGTAGAATCAAACCCAGGACCTTCTTGCTGTCAACCGCTCTAACCGCTGCACCAATAATAATCACACTATTTCTGTTGGGACCATAGACTGTAAAAGTATTTGCTTTAATGTATGATAAAAAAAATAATAATAATAATTGACCTGTTTTGAGAATGGAAAGGGCCACACATTATTTTTTAATTATACAATCTTTAATTGAGCCTGTGTATTTCTTGGTGTTGTGTATTTGTCCCTTTTAGAACCCATCTCTCTATCGCCAATGGCAACCGTTTGAAATCTCCAGCAGTCCACATTTGTTTGCGGGCCTCTTTTACTGTGACCCTGACCTGATTGACTCACTCGGGCCTTTTTTAATACGGGACTTTCCCTTTTCTCTGCTCTTTTGGACTCACATACTTGTCCAATGAAGCGTCCCTCTCTGAGTGTTGTGTTTGGCATCCCTCTCTCCCTCACCCTCCAGACGCCCCCGCCACACACTCCCCCAGCATTCCCCAGGACACACTCACTTCCCTGATGGATTCTGCCAATAATCATGGCCTTGGTCATGTCTGCAGGATATGTCCTTTAGCTGTTGTGCAATATTTAATTTCATTATGACTGTGAGATTGTACAAACCCTTGGTGAGTTTGGTTTAATGACTCTTCAGTTGAGAAATAAAGTTCTTATCTTATCTTAATTAGAATATATCAAAGCTGAGGGACCTAACTTATTGTTTCATAATCATTCCATTTTTTTTTTGTACCAACGGGAAGAATCTTGTAAAAGTAAAATCTGAACAAATCAACAACTAGAAAACATATATATTTTGCACTATTACTACATTTATTTGAGTTATTGGGCTGAGTGAGGGTGTTTTTTCTTCTTTTGCATCTGAAATAGTTGATCTAAAGATGTGACAGAACAGACCCAAAACAGATGCATGTGAAAACTAGGGATAGAACCAAAACCTTCTCAATGGATTTTTATTACACAGTACATATTTTCTGGTTTGAATGTTAGGCACCCAAGCTTTAAGTTGATTGGTTGTTGTTCATTCTCTATACCTGTTTTATTGTAGATTTATTTCCAAATATATCATTGTTGTTGCCATATCTTCCATTTGGTTTATGTTAATGTATTATCGATTTAGCCTACTTCTGATTTTAATATGTTATGAAGATTTAGGAGATGTGACATGATGCGTCATTTTTGTATCATTTACAAGTTCTAGAGACTTCTTGTGGGCTGCTTTATTGCACTTCCTGTTCTCATTCCCCATCTCCTTTATTGCTGCTACGTTAGACTTTGGTACTTTGACCTTATTGCACAAAAACTGGAGGAAGTTCCACTGTGACCGACTGTTAGAGGACATTCTATAGAAACCACGCAGTTTTTACCTGGGTGGGGGTTCCCAACAACCCTCTCTATGACGGAGGGCTCCGTTATGCCCATATTTGGAAAGCCTCGTGCGTAATTGGGACGCAACTCTGTGCGTAAAAACACGGAAAAAGAATGTGCTTGTGTAAGGGCTTCTTAAGCAACCAGCCTTAAATACGAATACTAATAATAGCTTGTGTAAATGACAACTAGAGAGAAACGTCATTCATTTAAAGACACTTTACTTAAATACACGTCACAAATAAAAAATACATTGTAAACATTAGACGTTAGTTTGTCTGGATCAACCAGTCAAACAAAAATAATTTACACATTGAATGAATGCAGCATTGCAATACAATAACATTTGTAAAAGTACAAAGAATTCTCATGTTATACCATTATTGAACCAGACTAATATGTGCCAAGTCTGGATGCTGCCATAGTATTTTCAGGTGTAATGGTCCCTCAAGCGGTGTCCAGCATCCGGAAGTCCCATTTCCCCTAAAACAGTCCACAACACGAGCCGGTACAACGTGACTCCAGTGTTATTACTTCGTCTCAGTCTTATTATTATTGTTAGAAATATTAGTCCGTGTTTAAAATGACTCCATTTTACTGGTGAGCATGAGCTGACAGCCGCTGCTTACGTGCGTCAAGACCTTCTGCTTGAGCTGCGCCACCTGGTCCCGGAGCACCGACGCCGTGTTGGACAGCCCCGCGTTGTCACTTTTCAGCACTTTGACTTTGTCCTCCAGCCTGGCGATGCGCTCCAGCTTGCGTCGCCGACATTTAGTAGCGGCCAGTCGGTTCCTCAGCCTCTTCCTCTCGGCTTTGATTCGCTCCTGCGTCTCCAGGTCGATCGGGGACATTGGCGGAGAGCCGTCGCTGCTGAGGAGGTCCGGGACGGTCTGCGGTTCCTCTTTGAGCGTGAGGAGCCGCTGTGGATGGAGCGCAGACCCGGGGTGCGCGGGCTGGAAGGGCGCCGAGTGTGCGTGTTGCTGGTGCGGTGGCAGGTAGCTAATGGTGGCGGTGGGGTAGCTCGAAGCAGCGGTGGAGAGGCTGGTGTTGGGGCAGTAGGCGTTCAGCGTGGTGTAAATTGGAGGCTCTGGCTGCAGTGTGGAGCCGAAAACGCTAGAGGCCGCTGCAGAACATGTTGTGACGCCCCCGGCTCCCAGCGATACATTCGGTGGTGCCATTTGGTTCATTTTGTGGAGCTCATCCAACGCCTTGACAAACCCCTCCGCGAAGCCTTCCTGCTCGTCCGTTATACCCCGGTTGTAGAAGTACTGGCCCGGGGTGGGAGTGGTGATGACCCCGTTGCTGTTTTGGATGATGAGTCTCTCTAGTTCTGGAGATGCCAGCTTCAGTGAATCCGGCTGTCCGCCTTGGTGGAGGTGGTGGTGGTGGTGGTGATGTTGGGGATGGAACTGGTCCGCGTCACTTCTCAGCTGAGACTTCAGGTTGCGATATGGCTCTGTCGAGTTTAAATTCATATTCTGCTTTAGCACTTTGTAATCGTGCATGGTTGAGTCTGAGTGGCCATAAGCCGGCAGAAATGAGTCGTCATGATAAAAAGGCTGTTCCATCTTTGTAGACATAAAGTCGTAGAAGAAATGAGGAGCTTACCGGCTATTTTAGAAACTCACTCTGGACAGTGAACAAATGCCACCAGTAAACATGCGTCAGTTTTGGCTCCTTCGTCAAATCAGTCTCTCCCAAAGACCTCTCCAAAAATATGGCGCAACAAATGTCCAAGTCCAATAGAAAGTTAAATAGTCGTTTCCAGTTTAGCTGCGATCCTGTCAGCTCGTTCTTGAATTAAGTCTTTCTCTTTTGGCCTGTGCGCTCCTTCTACCAGTGCTTGTTGAGGTGTGTTCGGGCGAGTCGCTGTCAAAGCTTTATAGGCAGCCTTCACACGCGCCTGCTGCCAAGGACCGGTGCGCGCTCTGATTGGCTGAGCGGCTGGGGTGCGCCTCCCCTTGAATGTGACGTTAATGTCGGGAAGAGGCGCTGTAAACAAGCCTGTAGGCAAAAGAGACGCTCAGGGATAGCAACTGAACTCAGCCGCCATAAAACAAGGGTAAAACGTGCGTATTTTGGCAGCACGGCTCTGTATTCTTAGATATGGAGGCGAGTGGGATTTGAACAGTGTCTGTAATGAGTGCTGGATCAGAGCTCAGAGTAGTTTCCTCTCATAAACCCTCAACATATACAACAAACGCACACGTGGATAATCAGCATTATCTTTATCGTTAAATTTAGTCTTGATTATGTTCGTGTGTTTTATGTCTTTTATAATAGTCTTCATGTCTCACACTTTAAAACGCCGGTCTTTTTTTCAAAGGAGTAATGCGGAGGAAGTTTTCATGCCTTATTTGGACATGGTGACGTTGTAGTTCCTCTCTTGGAGAACCGGGAAGACACGCCCCCTTGGCATTGTTCCAGCCACATTTCTGCTGCATCCATGTGTTAGTTATGTAGGGACTTTCTGTCTCAGCAGGAAACCTTAGCGAAGTCTATATAACTGCTTCGACCAGTGCAGGACACACAGCAGACAGGCCGTGTTCTGGGCTGTTGAACATCCTAACAATAGATATAGTTAACATATAACACATAATACATAACACGCACATGTCAAAACGGTACTTTAAGATTTCCACTGACAATAGCCATTTATTATTGTCCCCAGTATTATAAGTGAGTAAGTGTTTATTTCCAACTTATATTTTCATGCAGCAGGAGAAGAAACAAAAAACATTCACTTTGAAAAATACAGCTTGAAAAGGGGTACTTAGATGTTCATATCGATCTCTATCTCTTATCTTTAATACCTTTGTACTACTGTGCTTGAAAAATATAAACTAAAATAAAAAGATGTTTCACTTTTGATCTTTTTATGGCACTGAAAATGGCCTTGACCCACACTTGTTCTGGGTTAAACAAACAGGGCCTTCTCCTGTGTGTTTATGGACACATTGTTCCTTAAATGTATATTTTTCAGACGTGTTTCCACAAGACGGTTTAGGACAATAGGACTTTATTTCCATGGAATCATGCAGGTGAATTCCATCTAGAAAGTTTGGTAGTGTAGCTTTACATATCTCTTAGCATAAGTCCATGTATTTATTTTCTGTCACAAAAGTTGGATAAAATTGATATGCTGAAGGATCCCAATTCCATCTTAAAATGAAGCCGCTTGGTAAACCATTTATATAGAACACAGTTATTGTCATCTAGTGAATTCTAAGTAAAATGTTGCTGTGAGTATCTAGTTGAATGTAGAGACTGGAGTGTGAGATTATTGCAAAAATAACTTTAAAAAAAGTGTGTGAAATTATGTGAAAAGGAAATCTCAGATGGTTTTCCTTTTGCAGATACCAGAATCTCACCAGCTTCCATGACAAAGCTTTCCCCATCCATGATACTAAGCTATTGTTAAGGTTAATAAAGATTCCTGTCCAGTTGCAGTGGGTTGTGTCCAAAGGGGTCAGAGACGGTGCTGTTTTTGTTTACGTGAAACACTCCTCGACAAAAAGCGTACACTCCTCTTGTTAGTTTGAGGCTACTGCACTCCAAACCTGTTTTCTCTGTAGGAGGAGAGAGCACCTGTCTGAAGAGAACCTGTTTGTAATTCTTCTTCCGCCCACGCCAACGCCGGCAAATGCCTGCACCACATCTTCTGTCTGCCTGGTCAAAACAAGTCAGGTAGGATCCCGAGTCGCACAGGAGCACATTGTCCTCTGGTGCACCGCGACATGAATATACAGTGTGTGAGCGAACACAGGGAACATGAGACACAGAGCCAGGCTTTACACACCACTTCTTATTATGCTAAAGCCAGAGATTTTATTCTTAATTCTTGCTTCTAGAGTTATTGTTCATTTATCTTGTGTTGTGTGCTCCTCATTCCTACTGTTCCTTAACCAGCGATGCAACACTGAAATGTACCCACTGGGACAAATAAAGGATCTTTTAATCTTAATCTCATTACAGAAACTACAGAAAGTTTTGCAGTTTCGGTTGAAATTCCATATGTTCTTACATCGACAGTAGCCTTCTCTACTTGTAATTGTTATTATTTGACCATTATATTTTTAATAGTCATTCACCTGACCTGTGAGCGGATTCCTCTCTCATTGTAGATCTCCCTGAGGTTTCTACATTTTCTCCCACTGGGTGTTATAGTTTTTCCTTGCCGATGCAGGAGGGTCTGTTCGACGGATAGAGGTCTAACAAAAAGGACTGTGGGGATGATCCAGGACACTCTAACTTCTGCATTTATGGACATGTATCAGCGTTCATGGACATTGGTCAAACTCTGCATTTGGGCCAATACCTACGTGCTCTATATTTTTTGTGTTTGATTCTCTGGATATTGGATATTTCAGTTTTGTTAAGTCCTCTGAGATAACTACTGTTGTGATTTAGGGCTATACAAGAATACATTTAATTTAATTCAATTCAATATCATGAATTTAAAAGTGATATTGTAAGTAATTTTAGGACATAATATCAGGTAACTTTCATATGAGGCAGGTAATGAAATACTTGCCTGACCACCCCCATGGCAAAAATAGTACCCATTTGTTCCACATACCCACAAAGTAGTGTAAACAAAGAATTGATGGAAACTAAAGCAATAGAAGAAGATGACGTGCCTTGCCCAGTGACAGAGGAAGAGGCACCTGTCCTGATAAAGACATGAAAGTACTGCCACACCTTTTTTATTTGGTAGCTGTTACTGGACAAGTATATAAAACATGTGGTAGAGTAAGGTGAGTAAGGGTTAGGTGGTAGTTAAACACCATTGAAGTGGCTGTTAGTTTTAGCAGTGCAGTAGTACCACTTTATCACCGCTGGCAACTGGAGAATAGAGATTTAGCTGACTCTAACTAAAAACTCCTCATGACTCATGTAATTGATCCACTGGTCTGGTTTATTGGACCTCAATCTGAAGCACACTTAGCATCCGTCCCTGCATTAGGACAATGTTATGCACTCTCATTCGGATAGATGGCACGGAGCCACCTCACGAGCCTTCCCGAAATCACTCACCACTACACGTCCTTATACTCTGGGCTTCTGCCAGGCCTGTGGTCAACCAGCAGCAGGGGAGAGGGGAATTCATATGGGAGCTGCCGTAGACTGTTGTTGTACTCTGTTTGGACTTATGTCTATGGAAACACACAAAAGCCTATAGAACGGACTGAGTATTGTGGATGCCTTACAATTAGACTTGAATGTTTTTGGTTGTATTAGTGATAGACAGGGAATAAAAAGAGGCTTACAAGGGTGAGTTTAGAATTAATTATAGGTTAGGGGAAAACTAAATTACTGCATAACATTATAGGAGTAAGCAGGATTGCAATTAGGTTGGTGTGTGGTTTGGATATTTGACTTTTAAAACAGAAGCAGAACTCAGATTAGTGCGCACAGTTATGGGAGTGAGGGAGCATCCGTCGTTGCAACAGATACATTATTTGAGAAGATTGTTTTTTAGACAGGCAAAGAAAATCACCGCAGACCCCTCTCATGTCCTTTACTCTCAGTATGAGCTCCTCCCATCGGGCCACCGCTACAGAGTAAGAATAAGAAAAGAAACCTCCATCGGTATAAACGATTATGTCTGTCTTGTGTGTAGCAGCCTGTGAGTCCAAGACGAATTTCCTACAGGACATAATACATTAATCTTGAATTTTGAGACTTGATTCTTAGACTTTGATTACTGAAACCTTGATCAAATTGCCACTAAAACATTAATCTAAGGGTGTTTTTAAAGCTGAGGTACCTAACTTTCAAAACCACAACCTCAATAGAATCCATGTAACTAGTTTCTGGCTCTAAAATAGTTTGGTTTTATCTGTTGTTTTCACATGTATGTTTTTTAGGGCTCTCTGTCACATTTTTAGATCAGCCTTTTAAAACAGAAAGGCGAAATTGAGCGGCCCACCCTCACTCATCCAACCAGCTCTCAGCCCAAAGAGTCCAATAGTGACTCACACGTATCTGCACGATATAAGCTTTCTATTAAGACGAAAATGATATGTTGGGGTCTGATATGTTTACTTTTTAGGCTTGTTACTGTATGAAACAAATAAGATAGGTACCTCAGCTTTAAAGTTAAACATTTTCACAATCTACAAAGGCGGTATAGACAATTATTTTCAGCCTTTCTATGAAAAATGCCATGAATTATTCCAAAAAACAAGCTCGGGGGTAACCTACATTGAATGAGGCAGCATGAATTTGAATAACTTAACCCTGTTTCTGTACCAGGACACCCGAGGGTATGCAAGGACTTAACAGGGCATATTTACCAATGACTCTTGATTTAAAAAGTAGCTGGAAAATAAAGAGTATTTTTGTTTAATTTAAATTTTCTATGTATTTTTGTATTGCCCTAAATCAATACAATCGTCGTCTTAAGGGACTTTACTAAGTTGTTGATTCGGCGACACAGATCAGAGACAAAATTCAAGAGAGAAGAGTCTGCAGTGGATCATTGTGAGCTGCTCATCAGGATCACAGTGGAAACTTATAAAGAGAGGAGAAAAATCCCAGGTGCTCTTCACAAATAAAACAAAAACACATTTCAAAACACATGCCCTGAAGAAGGCCCAAAAACATGTGGCTGAAACACATTGCTAATCCCTGTTCATTAAAGGATTTTTATATTGATTTTATTTTTCAAGAGTGCGTCAGATTTTTCTCTTCACAGATCAGAGACACTTTCGAATACAGGAAATGCAATGACAACAAACACAGGGATGACCAATAACCATAAATGTCCATAAATGGTAAAAAAAATTCTTAAATGTCCTGGATCATCGTCACTGTCCTTAGATTAGACCTTCCCACTTCGGCAGGAAAAAACAAGTGGGAAAAAGTGAGCCATTTAATGCAAGCTTCTACTTTAAGCGATCTTCCAACTGAAAATATAATGTGAATAATACTCAAAAATCATCATCTTTGGTACTTTTGACTGTATGAGACTAAGCTTTGCGATCGTCTGAGAACAGCTGATCCGTCCCGAAGACCTGAAAAACACACCCATTTGACGCCACTTCTTAAATCCTGCCAATTGTCGATCCGTTCTGCCGCTGTGACGGTTTTATGTGAAGTTGAGTAAGAGAAGGAGTGTTCGCTGCCGGCCAAACACTTCTGTTTAAGGTGAGCGTTGAGTGTTCAGAGCCCGAAGGAGAACAAAGTGCGTACTGCCTGGGACTTTGTGCACGACGCGAGCTCATAAATCTCCGTGTCCTGACGCATTAATAATGGTTTACATGAGGACCTATAGCCAAACACGGAGACAATATTGACATGTGTAGAATATAGGAGTAGAATGTGTGTTTGGGATGTCAGTTTGTAATGATACCTTGCTGGATGAATGGCTTAGGTAACATTCAGAAGGTGCAGTGTTTTATAAGAGGTCTTTTATAACTCACCAAAAGGCACATCATTTGAAAAGCTCTAAAAATGTATTTATTACAAAAGCAGTACCTGTGATTTACTTCAGTGCTTGTACTTTCACTAACAATTACTTTAGTCTACGTTTGTATATAGACCAAGCAGTAATTTAGCGTCTCTGTTGAAAATAGTATAATTGGCAATGGCAATGGTTGCATATCTTTCGTTTTGAGATTTTGATGAAATAATGCTGCTGTCTTTCTTTTTTTTTTTTTGTTGCTTTTATTAACTTTTATTAAAGACAACAAAACAGACAACGACAAGAACACAAAACCAACACAAGATAAAAACATAAAAGTATAACCCCAAAACAGAACAGACAAACACAAGACAAAAAATATATATATTATTATTATTATTAGAAGAAGAAAAAAATAAAATAAATCATAAGAAATGAACAAAAACAAAAATGAATATGTTATTACAAAGCATTTATATGCATACATCTAATTCGGCAAAACACATACCTCTCCATTCCTTAGGTCAGGACCACCAGGAAATATCAAAAGTGAATTGTGTCCCAGGCAGTTGAAAACATTTTTTCTTTTAGTGTGGTTTACTCAAGCTTTGTATGACTGATTCATACTACAGCAAAGAGAACATTTATACTAGTATGGCATTAGAAAGACCTAACCTCAAAAGAAGTATGCAGAAGTAAAGAGACAGTACTTTTTACTACCTGCAGATGAAAACCAGACCCGCTAAGCTAAGCAGGACAGTTCCTGGTTAGTGCTGTGATGGGAAACCTCTGGGAACACCAGGGGCCACAGTGGGGCAGCTGTAAAGTGCCAAACTGTCGTTGTGTCCTTAGACAAGACACTTCACCCACTTTACCTAGAATGAATCTGGTGTGTGTGTAGATGGTTGGTGGTGGTGGGAGGGGCTGATGGCACACACTGGTTGCCTCGCTTCTGCCAGTGTGCCCCAGGGCAGCATCTTTACCGTGTATGGAATGAATCAATAATGATAAAAAAAGCGCCATATAAAAACGGATGCATTATTACTTCAGCAGAATGTAGAGAAAAACATGTTGGTGATGATCAAAGCACTCTGATAAATCCAATTGTCTTTGACAATAACACACCTACTACAATGACCACAATTGTAAAGCACTTTGTGACTCTGGCGCTATATAAATACAGATTACTTACTTACTTTTCTTACTAAAATTTGATGGAGTCAATTATAATAGATCCATAAACTCTGCTCTGACAATAGCCCTAATCACATAAACACAAGGGCTATGTATTTTCTCCAATCACTCTCTACTGTTCACATAAACACACAAGAAGCAGGAATGTGTGCAACATCATCAGCTCTGGGGATAGAGCTGTGTCCTGACCCCGTCTTGCTTTTAGTCCAGCAAGTACTGTATTCACTAACATTTTGGAATTTCTTGTGTAGTTGTCCAAATGTCAAATAATCTTTATACAATATCATGAAAATAAGTATTAGTTTTTGTTGCTGTCTTATTGGTTGTATGTGCATCAGTTGGTTGATGGTGGGCCAGGATTGAATATTTTTGGATTGGATATTTTTCGCATTTGTCTATGTTTTTCTTTTCAATTAAAACTAGACTTATAGATAAGACTTACCTGTATATCCAACTCAACATAGCAATAAGATCTTCTCAGTAATTTAAAAACAATTACTATATGATGATTACAGATGTTCATCCTTTATCCAAAACAACTCCAGATGTTCCAAGTTATAGACGCAAGTTGTCAATCTGCGAAGAAAAAAACGGTCTAGCTTTCTTAGTCACCTCTGAGTCACCTCTTTGTTTAGTCTGTTTACATTTAGAACACAGAAATCCACTACTTCTCCATTTTTCCAATAATTTAGCATCAGGAAGTGTTGGTGTTGTGCTTAAACGGTTCTTTCTTTCGGGCAGGTATTCAAAGCAGTCCAGGGGCTACTAATCGGCTCTGATTTTGCTTCTAGCAGTTCGATTCCGTGGACTGTTGCCCAACAAAGCAACTTGCGTTATCTTGGTTTGAGTAACGCATGGCTTGAGGCTTGAACCAGACTGTTTACGTGCGGGTAGACATGGTGTGAGTGTGTGTGTGTGTGTGTGTGTTTTGTAGAACACATTAGTTTAAAGAGAGGGAAACGTGAGTGAGTATTCTATGACTTCATTTCTTCAGTGGAAAAGTGAATGGATGCACACATGACACATGAGGTCATTGTCTCAAACCAGCGCACTGTAGGATCTGTGTGAATTATTTGCTTTTTACACAATGGCTGCATTTTGAGAGGCAGCCCATAGAGAGGGAGACACAGTACGCACACACATACACACACACACGCGCACACACACAGTAGTTATGGCACTACCAGTGATAAGTGGTCTATCATCCAGACTTCCTCAAATGAGTAATCCGCTTCATTGTGAAGGTGTAGCGCAGACACAGATCTACTAAAAGCATGTCTTCCTGTCACTATTAGGGGCTGTCAACTTGATGTCATTTCAGTCACAGAGCTTGTGCGACAAAAACATGGTGTTTAAAGTGCTGGTCCTAAACTTGGCCTGTTTTTCTGCTTGCAACAAAGAGTCATTTGAATGGGATTCTGATGTTATATTTCATTGTCACATTAAATAAATCAGAGAGCAGAATAAAGCTTTCATTTGGGTTGCCAGTTTGTTAGGTGAAAAACAGC